CCAACACCATGATGATTTACATGTCACGACCTGGATAGATTCCTGGGCAAGGAATGTGTGAAAACGATGGACAAAGGAGTGACCCATAATAAGAACCGGGGGTGTAGGAGACATGACTAGAAGAAAACAAGAATGATGTACCCAACTGAATAACGAAAGATAGAACAACGGGGACAGTTGAACAGTCGCTGAGTGTGTTTGGTCTGGAGACAAAGAGGACGAACTCAAGAAACCTGCCATGTCTTTTTTTTTTCTTTTTCTTTTTTTTTCTTTTTTTTTCTTTTTTTCTTTTTTTCTTTACCAATGACATACGTTGCTTACATTAAAGTTACTTACAGAAGAATAAAATATCTACAATTAACTTACAATCAAAAATAAATATATAATTAGCTTACGATAACAACTCTACAATATANCTGGCAGGAAACGATATCTCGCAAAGCAACAACGATATCTCACCAAGAAATAAAACAATAACTCTAATGATATATCGCTCGATAGATTGTTAAAGGTAAAATCTCGTTATATATCGCGATATTTGTGATATTCATCGATTATCATTTGTATTACTTTACACAATACTGTATGTTTACAAGCAAGTCTTTCAGCAAATCATGGATTACAATCGCAGAAAGTCCAAACAAAGTGATATTCTTTGGTGTGAAGTGCTTCTGATTGAAGTTATTGGGTACGATCCATTCAACCAAAATTTCCAGGTTGAGGTTTGAAAATTTCTTGGTGTCAAATGGATCGTTATGGGTCCGGACAGTCGTGTTCCATTCCACTCACAAAACAAGTGTCACGCTCATTTAAAATGGAGGATGTTGGATCACTGTTCCTCGCACTAGAGCTAGATTTCAACGGTGATATCAATGATATTGTGTGAGCTGTTTCGTGTGTAGTATTATTTTGCGTGGACCTTTCCCAAATATTTGCCATAATTATGAGTTCAAACACCACTTTCGAATGACGAAAAGAACATTCTAAATTCTCTTGAGAAATAAATCATCTTTAAGAGCCATTAATAGCCAAAACATACACACGGTTGGACCGAACTGATCCATTCACTTTTAGACTGAAATTTCCGGAAATTTTGGTTGAATGGATCGTGCCTATTAAGCAGACTTTCCGAGACCAATTGCAGACTTGAATTTGCTTGTAAATTCCAATTCTAACTAAACTGGGTATTTTTTTTTTTTTTTTATATTTTATTTACCAATGACATTCGTTACTTACATTAAAGTTACTTACAGAAGAATAAAATATCTACAATTAACTTACAATCAAAAATAAATATATAATTAGCTTACGATAACAACTCTACAATATACAATGATGAGGAACACACTTATTGATAGCAGTGCAAAAAACTATCTGAAAAATGTTTCACTATAGAAACAGGGCAAGAAACTTTCTTTTTAATTCACTTGTCACTTCGGACAAGTGCAATGTGTATTTTGTTTCTCTGAACCACAAAAGTACTTGTCCAATAAAACCAACAACAATAATAAATGGACTGTTAAAGTTTTTATCGTCTGAATCCTTGAACTCCATCACCACATCCAGTGTACATCAGGCTGCTTTTGTTAGCTAATTCTGCATACTTCTGACAAGTCGAGAAGTGCATTTTGTTTGCTTCTTCTCCATAAACAGCTCAATTGAACTCTTTCAACCATGCTGGTTGAAACTTTCTGATGTGCTTTGTTTCATTATTTTTCTTGCTGTATTTGTCCTTTTTCTTTTGGAATGAACATCATTGTCAGTACTGTCAGGTGTTTCAGGTGCTGACCTCTTTAAAAAGTTGTTGTCTTTAAAATTGTCGTCAACTGAGACAAAGACGTCATGGATATGCTTGAACAGGAAAAGTACTAACAAGCATGTGTGGTATCATGAGTCTGCTATTATGCTGTACAGTAGGACTTGCAATGAATTTAATGATGGCACTTTGTGTAATGAATCAAACACACGATGTAAACAAAATGATGTTATTTTTATGTTACTTCCTGTAAGAGCTACTTATTTTTTAGGGCACTTAAGTTATCAAATATGGAAAGGATTACTTATTACAACATACATATCCAAAGAAAGCAGGTAGTAAAGTTTGTTGACTTTTTTTTAACTTGGACCTCTTCAACTTGGTCGTCTATTCAGACAATGTTTTTGGGATTCATGGGATCATCATGGTTTTGGGTTCCTGGAATCATACTTTTCCTTGTCTGTAGAGTCATTGTAAATAAAATATACTCAAATCAACCGTTACATCTTAGTTTCCACACACTGTGCACATACATTTTGCCTGCTTATATAAATAGCAAAAACAATTCCTATTACATGTGATTAATATTGGTTCCTTTTACATTCTACAAATGCTGAATTAGTCACAACATTACATTTTCTCCTTTTCTTCCAGACAAAAATAAAGGATAAAAAACTCAAAGTTTACGCAGTCACTTGACACACTATGAAAGTAACAGTTCAAAATGTTTCTCACAACAAAACAAAGTAATCAAAGGATTAATGCCTGAAGTCTCCAAAACAAAGTCTCTGAATCTTTCAAGACTCTCTTAACTTCTTACTAGGCATTACACAAAGTCTCCAAAGCACACAGGCCTCCTAACAATTGGTGATGACCTCTGCACAGTTTGCTGAGTTAACAATATGGACTTGCCATCAGCATTTGACTCTCACTTTCTCCTCTAGAGAGGTACTGGGCTATTTCCAGTCACTTCTGTCATCATTGGTGGGACAATTTCCTGCCTCTGTCCAACTTAATCTGACAAACTGTTTTCTTCTCCACTTGGTCTAAACACACCATCTTGCTCAGTGTACTTCTTTACAAACACAGTATTCCTTCTGATTTCCTCTTCAGCCTCCTTTCTGACTGTTACTTCTTTTCCAGGCTTCTGAACCACTTTGGAAGGACTTGGACAGAAGTAAGTCAAAAGCTTGTTAGACTTTTCTACTCTCAGTAACCCAGTGTCACCAATCTGTATTGACTTGAGCAGTGCACCTCTACGTGCATCGGCATACGCTTTGCTCTTCAATTTATTCAACCAATCCCAATCACAAACTTCTTCTCTCAATGCCTTTTTGATTTCTCTTCTTAACTCTGGCAATTTCGTCCTCATCTCCCAACGTACAAACATCAAGTAGAAGGTTGTGGCACCTGTGGCAGCTTGTGGAGTGAATCGGTATGCTGCCAGCCAAGTAACCAACTCAGTTCGCCAATTCTTCCCTTCTAAATTAGCATTCTGAAAAGACTTGAGCAATGAATGGTTCTGGCATCTGACCTCTCCATTGACTTGAGGCCACAGTGGCATCATCCTTCAAAGCTGATACTTTGACTTTACCACATCCTGATGACCCTCCTGAGCCAGTTTTACTATCTTGTTTCGCAAGATTTTGAGTACCACTATCCTTGTACCATGAAGCAAAAGCTCACCATGGGTGCATAATATTTGTCTGTGACATGTGCATTTGAAGGAACCGTACACCATTCCCAGTTCCCGGTCTCACACAGGTCTTCCCTAAGCACAACTCTTCATCATTGTAGGACGCCTCTTCAATCTCCTTCTGTGATAATGCTACCGGGGGTTGACTCTCTACAACGCCTCTGACGAAATAGTACTTCTCGCCATGGTCCAATGGACCGAGATAATGAGATAATGCATCAGCAATGTTTGTCTTTCCAGGTTGGTACACAATTTTAAAGTCATAACCTTGTAGCCACAACACCCATCTCTCAATTCGCGCACAAGGCTTTGACATTTGTGAATAGACTCATTCCAAGGGTTTATGATCTGCTTTCAGCTCAAAGCTTCTTCCGGATAGATACATGTTAAATTGCTCACAGGCCCAAACCAATTCCAACGCCTCTTTTTCTGTCTGACTGTAGTGTCTCTCCACGTCAGTCAAGCTTCTAGATGCATAGGAGACAGCCCTTCATATCCCTCCTTGTTCTTGGGTAGGAGCTGCACCTAAACCCTCTGGGGACGCATCTGTTATGATTCTTGTGATGTCCTACGGTCAACCCTGAAGTAACAATGTCTCAGCCCAAGTGACAAGACACTTCAGCTCCTGACAAGCTGTTTGCTGATCGTCACCCCACTTAAAGGTGACACCCTTTTTGATCAACTCTTGAATGGGCTTGGCTATGGATGCTACATCTGGCATGAACTTTGCTGAATATTGAACGAGACCCGTAAAAGAGCATATCTCACTTGTGTCCTTAGGAGGCTGTGCATCTCTAATGGCACTAACCTTCTCTTTGCTTGGGTTAAAGCCATTGCTGGCCAGTTCATAACTGAAAAACATGAGCTTTGAGTCGAAACTCATACTTGTCTCCGTTCACTGTTAACCCCACTTCACTCAGCCTATCCAACACTGCTAAAAAGGCATTGGTCATGCTTTACACCCTTGCCATGAAAAATTAGATGATCCAGGACATCCCCTCAACACATCTCTGACAATTTGCTGGTTTTTGCTCCGCTGCCAACGTCACACCAAACATCATCCGCTTATAACAAAGACCTCAAAAGTAGTGATGTGTTGACTGTCCTCATTAAGTACAATCTGATGGAAACCCATTTGAGATCAATTTTGCTGAACATGGTACCCTTGTTCAAATTTTGTAAAAGTTCCTCCACTGGTGGAATCAGGTGTCTTGCTTTGTTCACATGATGCACATCCACGCACACCCTTACATCTCCATCACCCTTAGTAATAACCACAAAAGGTAAGATCCATCCGTAGGCCCATCTGGTACTTCCTCTATAATTTAATGGGTGGCATGGGCATCAATGGGTTAATATACCCAAAATGACTGTTACATCTTAGTTTCCCCACACACCACTCATATATTGAGCCTGCTTCTATAAATGGCGAAAGCAATTCCCATTATGTGATTGGTTCATTATACATTCCACACATGAAGAAGCTAGTCATAAAAGGGGATAAGTGACGATTTTGGTTGCTTTTCTTNAAAATTTGGTTCAGGCTCCCTAAGGATTGGGCGGTGATACTTGGTCCTTTGTGACATTTTTAGTATTAAAGGGAAGGATGTCTAATATATCATATAACAAAATTGCAAATGTTATTGCCAAAATATATGAGTTTCTGGAGGTTGAACGAAATATCTTTTAGGCTCAACAAAAGTTGCCCAACATTTTGTGCATTTTAGACTGTCTGAGAGGCCAAAATGTTGATGTGGCAAAATCTCTAAGACAAACAAAGCCTACCTTGACAAATGTCATGGTTCTTACTCATTTCGGATAGCTTTTACACTTTAAGAAGATGAAGGTAAACAGCCGACCTTAATCTTTTGGCCCCTCCCCATCCTTGATCCTTCCTTTCTCTGAGAATGACACTTATTTTCATGACATCGATTATTTCTATTACTTTAACTCGAAGATCTGATTCATGTTTTATTGTCCATGTTAGCAATTCAAAAATGTAACTTTGTCCCAAAGTGTCAGCACATTCTCACAGTCAATCAAATGGAGATTTGCAAAAGTTGTAGATACATTCTGCTAAGTATTATTTATGCTTGAAAAAATGATATGTGTTAATATCCTCTCTTAATTTTTTTATACTCAGTTACTGTGTGGGTATGTGTGGCGATGGAGCAAATGATTGTGGGGTAAGAGATCACTGCTGTCTGCTTGTTCTGTTAGATGTATATTCAGTTCAAAACACCTTAGCACTATCACAAACCCTATTTAGTTTTCAATTTCTGCTCCTGGACAGGGAAAATGTGCATTAGTGCCTAACTTCTAATCAGAGTAAAACTAAGCTGCAGCATGATTTTTGGACCAGAAATTATTTCTTTTACATGATCAAGAACACTTGTCAAGTATGGGGGACCATGTGTTTCAACATTCAGACTTTTTCACACAAAGTTGTTCAAATGTATAGAGTTTATGTGAAATGACTAGAAAGGGTATTGAAATGAACACAGCCATTTGTGGTTAGCTGTAGTGATATGTTAGAGCCCTGTAGTTATTTTATAGGTCTGAAATGGGATATCAATTTTTGCTCAGGTCTTAAATCCCATATTTTGGTCTCAAATAGGATAAAGATTTCAAGGTTCAGACTGCACACCCCCACCAAAAACTTTGGTGTGTACCTTCCTGGGGTGATCTCTTTAGCAATTCTGGGGACGAATGGGCCAAGTGAACATGAAGTATTATTGCAATGAAATTTGTTTGCAAAGTACACTGAAAACATGGTCGCTACACATACTTGAAAAGAGAAATAATATTGTATAACATAGTGGGAGATTTAGTACAATGAGCATGGTGACAAATTTGCAAGATTCACATAATATTGAGAATATGGAAAAAAAACTCAGACACCATATGCAACTGTTGTATAGTGGAAGCCCATCCTTTGTCCACCCAGTTAATATGGCCACCTCGCTATTAAGGCCACATTATTCTGATCCCAACAAGAGCTCATTCAGTCATTTTCTTATTTAACCCCTGTATTATGGCCACCCCATTAAGATGGCTGAACACAATTTTTGTGCACACTCTTGCTAGCATGATACAGCGCGCACAAGAATTACAAAAAATGTGGCATTGATAGGGCGATAATTTTGTTTGCTCAGTGCCTGCACTGTCTGCTCTTTTCCTTCATAATTGAACATAGTGTGTTGATGGTTTTAGTCTTTAATTAGAAAGATATGGTAGAAAAAATAATGATGCAAAATACCCGAGCAATTCTCAGATTTTGTTTTGTTAGCGAAAGAACCCAGTTAAATGCAGTACATATGTAGTCGGTCCAAAAATTGTGACTGAATGCAGAATAGCCTTCAGGAAATATGGGTATTTCTCGAGAACCACTCATTAGATTTGAACAAAATTTATCAAGAAAACACTTAAGGAAATAAGTAACTGGATTATTGAAAATAATTTGATTTTGAACAGAAGAAATTCTAGATTTTCCAGTTGTTCTTCAACAAGGGATAATTAAAAATCTCTCTGTTCTATTATTAAAATAGCCTTAACTTGTGAACATTGTTGCAATTGCAATTAGCTTGTCGCATGCAAATGATGAAAAAAATCTAATGACTAGATTTTCTGCAAATAAACAGAACTGATTTTAAAGGCTTGTTTATATGTAGTTGTATTACCATGGCAATGGCACATATGAAGAAGCTAGTCATAAAAGGGGATAAGTGACGATTTTGGTTGCTTTTCTTTTTTCTTGCT